TGTTGGATCTGGGCGTGGTTGATATGAAATAGTGTGAACAAGTGAACAAATGTATCATCAATGAGTATAAAGAGGTGTCTAGGTTTTTGCGTTTTATCTTGTGCTTCATGCATTTGTTATTTATACTTTGCTTCATGCATTCACAATTCATTCGATGCTTTGCTATGCGTCAAACAGTAGCCTGCACAGTTGTCTACTGTTTTCTTATGCTGGTCGGTATATTTCAATGCCACTTATATGGGCTGAGAATACGAATTGATATCCATCCATTTATATGCAGTACAGGCGACGACTGTTTCATGAGTATCTATGAGCGTGAATTGAAACTATATGCGTTCAACTGTTAAGATGTGCATCGCTGGACCAATTTTACATATTCAAACGCTCTACGAATAGACCGGTCCGTTGCTTTTTGAATTTATCACGCCTATCCTGAAGCGCTACGACAGATTGCGCACACATTTACTTATTATGCAATCTCGCTTCTTATCGATAGAGCCGCGTGGAGATTAATGATGAGTTTCTGCACGGCGAATCCGACAGCTCTGCTGCTATCCGCACAGATTATTTTGGCGAGGTACAATTCATTACTTTTATAATAGATGCATCCCAAATTACCGGGCACCCGACCCAGTTAGATTGACGAGGCATAGTCATCTCAAATTGGATCGCATAAAGACTAATTTCTATTCTTTTGTGAAACAGTCGACGAGTTTCCAGATATGTGAACGTTTTCTAATGGCTGTCCTCTCGCCACAGATACACCCAGGTGTTGCATAACCAAGGTCAGGGTGCTATACTCATAAATGGTCATGGTTTTGTCGATTCATTTCTATTAGATTGTTCTCAGACATCGCTTGCGAGAATGACTGTAACTACCTAAAATGAAAGGAGCTGTCACTTCTTCCGTCTCCATAGTAGTATACAAAGCTGTGTCGTACATTTGCAGCTGCACTTGTAAGTTTGTGAATGACTATATTTATATCTCCTTCTTTTATCAGACCATTCGCAACGTCAACAAGAGATCGTACACTTTCCTTGTATTGATGTTAATCGAGTTGCTGGCTTTGTTGACAATGTCTCTTTACCATGTCTGGGATGATTTTCCGGTGACCAGCAAGACACGATCTGACTTTGTCTACTCTCTGGTCCTTGCCCTCAATATTTGTAAGTTTTATAAGAGTTTCTAATGTATGCAGCCTTTAGTTATTTCTGCAGAACCTGTGGAATAATCTCGGCTTTCGTATGTTGACCTCAACCATGATCTACTATAACGTGTGATACAACATATATGTCGTTAAGTGAATTCGCCAAGGTATAGAAAGGTTATGTCTGACGAGGACTATCCCACGTTCTTCTTTGGTATGCTTCAATTGCTTTGTAAATATAAGTATTAACCAGCTTGCATCTATGATTAGAACTCATCATTACTATATGCCTTATATTCGCTTTGATGGTATTCAGTATTTTGCATGTACTATGTCATCCATGGAGTGCTGAAGGAGAGGTCGATAGAACTATTTACCTTTTTAGCAGGTAGTTTGATTCTGACAGCGTACGTCATTTACGAGGTGTGTTCAGCTCATGAGAGCTTCTTTTCAGATATTTCCATATAAAAATTCCCGGCCTGGGGCAGCTTCATTTTGACATCTTCGAAGTTTTGTGACTACACGTGTTTATCGGGGTTTTCGCAGTGCCTTTTGACAGGCAAAATTTCCGTTGCAAGTTATATATGGGTCTCCGGAGGATCGTTACCGATCACCAATCAACTATAATTAGCTATGTTCGAGATTATACGAACCCGCTAGGTTTTGCAACCCAAGTAGCTTTGAACTCTGTCCAGTGCGAAATCGTCTCAGTGATGATCGAGTAATCTCAACTCAAATTTATTTGCCTTTTTAAACAATGATAGTTTGTCATCTACAATGGAGATCGAGAACTGGAAAATCGAAAATGGAGAATGATAGTGTGTTGCCTTTGCGAGCCTTTCAACATCATTGGGGCTATGTATGTGGCAAGGGGCTTCGGGTGGGTGAATTTTATCATCATCGGTGCTGATATGGAACTCGGAGGTATGAACAATAAGGACGCATGAAAGATATTCTGAAGTAGGTTGGGTTGCCACATGTACTTAACGAAAGTCGATATCCAGATCTACACATGGCTGAAAGATATCGTCTATTTATTTAGTGGTATGCTTACATCACTTTACACCATAACCACATAGCTTGATACCTTTCTTTGCTACTATTGAACACAAGTTTCATATCGTTAGACATTTTTTGTAAATTATTTATCTGATCTATTTCGCTTACTGTCGAACATGATAAGATCATGAAGCATCACAATACACACTCTTGATATATTATAAATCTATACTTGTAGACTGTGTCTCCATTGTAGCAATCAATCACGTGTGTGGGATGATTAGTGTTTGATAGCTCTTTATCAAAATAGTACTGTCAATATAGCGAAGTTGGATTGAAAATGAGATTTTAGTAATGGCTAGAATTTGTGTGCGTTACTAAAGTATTATGACTGTAGCTTTATAGCATACTATATGGACCGAGTCATGTACGACCATTCGGCAAGCTGAAATACCCCAATGGTTTTTGCCGATTACTGGCATGGCTGGCAGTTTCATGCTCATTAGTTGTTTCTCGTACGTTTTCAGCCGTCTTCGATACTCTATGCACGTACTTCGCCATGTTCAAAATAAATCTGCAAATGGCGCTAAGTCTGATAGCTCTGAGCTTCTTCAGTCAGGTAGGTGCACACAGTCAGCAGTACATATTTTGTAGCCACGAGGATTTAACTCTGAAAATATTTGATTGAAACGCGTATTCGAAGAATGTGGGCTGCTATGGCAGTATACTATCACGATATGCGTTCTATTTCAATTGCTAACGCGCGGATGAACGTTTTTCTGCAGCTTAAAGATGATAATGAAGTTCACGATGCAATCTTAGAGCTAGTCATTCCAATGATTCTTTCTTCTTGAATTTCGCTTAGGATATGGCCTTCGACTACGAATGGGCGATAGAAGCTGTTGCTTTCAGCTGTTTACTCCTCAACAGTGTGATATCACACTACATGGTATGTTGGTTCATGTTTGCGTGAAGTTGTGCAATATCTGGTCCGGAATGTCTCATTTAAACCGTTTTAATACTGTTTATGTTTGTAAGTATCTTGTTTCTGTGGTACTATTTCGTATATCAGTAGGTTTTAGATCTTCATTGGAGGACATCCAAAAATGTTTTATTCGCTTTTCATTTCTGTCTACTTACGCGATACTCTTGCACATGGAATAAGATTTTATTTTGACTATTTAATTTGAGTCACTTGAGCCTGAAAAGGCTCGGTTCGCAATCTACCATGTGGCATAGATTGATTCTGAGTAATGTTCACCTGCAGGGTGCGCCACCTATACTATTTTTGTTCGAGTGCAAATTTTGCTGCGCTATATGGATGTCAGTTTGTGTGGACTGCCACAACTATTGAAAACGTCTACTCAAATTGCTCTACTCACACTCATGATCCGCTTCTTTGATACTTCTTCCTATTACAGTTCTCCCGTGAGATCAGCATGCTCAGATGGTACGTATTGACATCGTTGGCACAGCCGTTGTATATCACTTGGAAGCTATTGGAGGTGTCAACCGTATACCCAGAATCTTATCACTCCTACGTCAGATTACCGGTTCTGATAGCAGGTAAAAGTTCATGAGTATCTCTTAATCTTCCGCGCCACCTGCCGTCGGAATTGAAGCTCGAATTGGCACATTTTTATCTATATTTATGGCTTTATCCGCTGAATACCTCTGATTAAACCTACAAGCTTGTTCATGATGCACGTTACTAACCAAAGGAAAATTATTTCGTTTGAACTGCTTCCGCTCAGGTTTTACCGCCTTGATGACATACTTTCTCACTGTCGTGTGGGCACATAAGGCGCGCAATGGATTTGGGAAAGGTCTGCGCCTCCGAAACGTATGTTAAGCTGCGCTAATGGCGTTTTTTAAAGTTCGTGTGGAATATTGTCGTAATACCAAGCTCTATTTGTCAGTTCATAACGGATTTTTCTCGTCAAGCTTTCACACATGAGTTGCTAAATGTAAACTGTTTTTTTATCAAACCATTTCAAGATAATTGATTCTGCATCGCGTTGTTTTATGAATACCCGATTTTTGACACTGTGTCTGACCGTGAATCGCACTTTGTTTTGTACTTAGATTGGTTCATGATTCTAATCTCCAGAGATAAGGTGACGAAGGAGGGAGATAAATCGAGCGTAATATGCTCTAATACCATCTATACGCGCTGACAAACTACAAATGTTCGTAGCCACAAGGATATATAGTGTATGGAAACCGGAATTGAGAGTGATGGATCCAAACTGATATGCACCGATGTTGAAGAATATCTGTACCGTTTTTTCAAAACAATTGTGGGCTGTAGATAACTCCGCCCGCACATATTACCGGGAAGTTTGTAGAATAACAAGACGTCATATTGGGAACGCCTGTATTCCTCTGACACGCCTGAATAACACAGGGCAAAAATTGTTTACTCAAGTCAACTACAATACCCCTATATATGCATGGTGCATGAGGGACGCTTATTGTATCAAAGGCTTCTCACAAGGGACGTTTGTCCGGAACGGCAATAATACCCGAATTATATACTTAGAATGAAAGCCACTATGTCCATATTGAGGGCAGGAATGATCATGATGAGAAATAGGTCGTGGACCGGATAGGTGCGATAATCCGAGGTTATACTGCAAACGGTACCCTCTAATAGTAGCCCGGCATATGCTTCTCACCTGCTGTCGCTGAGGATCAAAGCGCACTGTTCTATACAATTAGTTGTGACAATTGCAATAACGGGAACGTGCTGGGTATTCTGTAACTCTGACTCCAATAGTGAGCATTAGCGGACTACTGCCCTTCCATCGCCCAATTCTATGATACAAGCCTACTTCATACTATTGATTACTATTCGGAACATTCGTATATATAAACGAATTGAGAGTCACGATTTTCTACTCGATTTCGATTTTCACTCTGCTTTATGCTAGTTCATTTGTTGTCGAACAAGAGCAGGTATTTAGGTAGCTTACAAGGGATCAACAGAAATTATATGCATTCAGCGGGTGGGCTGTTGCGTTGGTACTTTAGGGTTTTATTGGTTCGACTCGATCTGTTGGTTTGAAAAATTCGGCATTCAAGAACTGCCACATCAGGTCGGTGCGGTATCCAATGGGTCCGCTAGAAGCTTCCATATGCAATTCCGCAGCAAGTCCTCTATCTGTATTTCAATGCATTTGCTCTTGTACTGGAAGCCCTTGGGAAGCCAGTTGAGTTTAAACACATACTCCCATTTCATCGGAGTATAATTCGCACTTCAGGCGTTTGGACTTGGGCATGCTGTTAGGGATAACGAAAGGGGAGGGGAGGGGATCATCAAAAACATATTTCAATCTTATTGTGAGGTGCAGACCAGCTACTTGACATAAATATTGACATTCTGACAATAAAAAAAAGATGACATCAGACTCTCACCTTCCCAAGCCACTGATGTGCATGATGATCCCCAAGTCGAGAAGCGTACTAGCTGGCATTTTCATATAGTCGTACGGGTGCTTCGCACTCTTAGACATCAATGACCTGCGAAGAAAGGTACATTTTTTAGTCTGCCATGCAATAAGTGGGCGATGATATTTAAGTGTACGGAAAACATAACACTCGCGAGAAAGGATCAAAGGAATGCAGTTTTATCTAAGGGAGATGAAAGCAAAAATAGCCAACTCGCAATATACAATACAAATTCATCGTGGGCACAGTGTGCTGTTTCCGCTAAAATTTAAAACCCCTAAAGATCACAGATAAGACTTACTTTTTCTTTTTCTTCGGAACAGCACACTGTTTCGACGACGAATATGAATTATACATTGCAAGTTGCCGCTTTTCTATCCGTAGGGCATCCATCTTTGCTTTCACCTCTCTTAGCGAAAACTGTTTATTTTCGATCCGTTCTCGCTTCAACGTCATCGAAAGTATGTCCTACAATAGCCGCAAAAATTAATTGAATCGAGATTTCAAGATTTGGTATCTAACAAAACAATTGCATACTTTCATCCTCTCTCGCACAGACGGCAGCCACCAAATTAAATTCAAATTTTTAGGGTTTTACCGTATAGTAAAGTTTTCGAAATGTGATTGTATGTGGCGTAGATGTAGCTATTTGACTTTGGGAGAATTTATTAAAACTATGAACAGCAAGCACAAGATTCACATTTAGTCCATATACCTTGGCAAGCTCGTTGACCAACATCTGATAATCTTCACCTGTGCCGAATCAGCCTGCGTTATGCAGCTGAGTGAGCCCGTTCCGCACACTCCCCTGCACAGGTAGACGCAAAGGTAAATATCATACAATGTAGTAAACACATCAAAATACGATACTAAAACCTACTGAGTCTCCCTGGGGCTCAGTGCGGTGTATTTATTCTTATATTTGATTGTCTACTTGGTCTACAAATAATTCACCTCGTGTGAATTAATTGTAAACTAATTCTAACTCCACACTGATAGTGGTTTAAGGGGACTTTTACTACACTCCCCTCAAGCTCGAGCGTCACCAGTGATTGAAGAGCTTCAAAAATAAATGACCTCTTAAACTATTGAAAATTAAACATATAAAACTAGTAGTGTAAATTAAACAAAACATATATATATATAAAA